GGCCAAAAAAAGTTAGATGATATGTTATAGCTATCATCAGACATGGTGAGATTTGGGCTTTTGTCTTTGCAATTGACCTTAAAGTCTAGGTAGCCAGTGAAGGAGTCGTGTTCCTGAAAAATCCAAAAAGGATAGCTAATTCGGGGTTACTTCCACATGATTGAAACACACAAGCTTCAAATTTGGAGTTAAAGGACAGAGTTTCATGTGCTTAAAAGAGGGGAATAAGGTGCATTTTTCTGTAAAAATTTTCTTAAAATGGAGAAGCTTTGTGGATACACTTAACCTGGGGGAAAGTAAAATGGAAGGAGGCATTGGGATGAAACTTTCGAAGAGTTTTAATTTTTCTTGTGGGTTCTCTACCGGCACCGGTAAGAATCTTCAAGGATTTTGTCGCCCACGAAGATCTTCAAAGATCGAACACCACATTTGCCTCTGCAAATTTATTTTTTAATTATACTCCCAATATTTATTAATTAATTACCAGTTAAATTAAGACTTTCTATTTACATATATTGTAATTATTTTTTAAAATAAAAATAAATAAATAATATCTTGGGTGAATAATTAAGAATGTAGAAATCTCGCAAGCTGGCTAATATATGTTGGAGTTTGCATGAAGTTCCTGTTGTTGTTGCCTTTTCCTATTTTTAGCTTTTGTACTCATGTTTTTGTGTGTCTTCAGATGTTGTCTTGTCCTTAATGAACATGCTAGTTGCCATCTTTTGAATTTCTTTCAACGAGGATTCTTTTGAACTGCACAAACTTACCCAGCTTTCGTTTCATTGCCTTGAGACGAAAAAAGAAGGTGAATGAATTCTTTATGCACTTTTTGGCTACGAAAAAGTTTCTAACCTTGCCAATCTCTCAAGCAACTTGCGAATAAGGGCTTCAAAAATTTGTAATTGCAGGCAGAACTGACCTTCTAAATCATCAGCAAGAACATACAGTGACAACATGATATATTAAAGGAAAATAATTGGTACATCCATTGACACATCACCTTCCGATACAATATACTCTTTGACATTCACCTGATTTAGCTATTAATATATAACATAGGTGCAGTCGGTTCAATTGGTTTTTTATATTATATTTAAATTTTTTTGTCTTTAATTAAAGGATAATAATATTTAATGAGTGTTATGGATTATGTTTAATCAGATGGTATAGACTTGTATTAATGTCCTATATTGAAACCAAAAAAAAAAAAAAAACTTAATCAAACTGAATACCTTGACTCTTCTTTCACTTAATGTTTGCTGATTCATTATTATTTTTTCTTTCCTCAATTTTTTTCATTTACCATAGGTTAAAAAAAAATGACATTTGGATTACTTCCTAATTAAAATGCATTGTGCAGGATTCATTTCTTACCCAAGCTGCATTAATTATCCCTTGCCTGAATGACACTTCATGGAACAAGCTAGTTGCATGGGGCAACCTCAATCTGACTGATCACATTGTAATCAATATTCTTCTCCTGCTCTTTACACTTCCACTTTCTTCAGCCCTAGGACAAAGCATCAACGGCATGCGTGTAAGACCCACAATAAAGATATATATGCTTCTATATATGCCTTTCTTTGCCTGTGAAAGAAGCAAAGGATCGAATACAGAATAGTAGTGTTTTGGTCTCTGTTTATATTCCTGCATGCGTTCCTATATGATGTTATAAAATTAAATCTCTTCTCCTGTCAGCTGTCACGGCTAGCCTTTTTTCCTCAATTCATTTTCCTGCGTTTGCCAATTGGTGAGTATTCTTTGATGCTACATATATATAGCTCTGATTATTTGCACTTTCTGTTCAAATAGCTCGTATATGGATCAGCACATTTAAATTGGTACTGTCAATTTTTATATATGATTCTCTCATATTAAGTTAATCACTTTTGAGGGAATTGAGGAATAAATATATAGATATAAGTTTGAGTTATGTTCAGAAAAGTAGGTTTTTTTCTCATTAAAAAAATGAAAAGAAAAGTGGTTTTTTTAGATTGGTGCATTCATTTTAATATTATTTCATATCAAACAATAAAAAAAATATATTTCATGTCAAAGTATGGCATCCCAATCTACTATAAGAATAAATGGAAATGGATACATTTTAGCAATAAATTTTTTTATTAGCCACCAAAAAAAAGGGAAATTTATACTAAATAAGAGTATAAGGGGTACTTTGTCCCACCATGAACATGATTCAGAATTCTCCCAACATGCAAGATAATTTAAAACACAAACTCATAAATCCAAGTTAAATCATGTTACTTGATCCTGTACTTGTCTTGCTTTTTTCACAGTTTCCCTGTAATCAGTCACTGCTCTAGCACAATCCCATGGGTTATGGCACCAATCATGAGAAGTAGAAGTGTATCCCTTAGCTTTTTTTTCTTTTTTCTTTTTTTTTTTTTTTTAACCAAGTAAAAGGTTTCATCTGTTCAATTCTAGCCACCTATCTTCTGGCCTCTGCACCGCCCCAAAAACCTTTCCATTCCTCCACACCCACACGACACACATACCAGAAAAGTATTATTTTGGTTGACTTGAAAAAAAAAATGTATAAATATCTATGAAATTATTTAAATATTTTAAATAAATTGCTTATATATACATGTTGATTCATTAATGGTATTTAAATATTTTATAAGTATTTCTACATTTCCATCAATCGATTTGAAATTTTGCATCATCTTTTGTTATTTATTAATAATTTGTTATCTCTTTGATTTAAAAAAGTTTATTTTAGCAAAAAATTACCTAAAATTAAAAAATATATATTAAAATGCTTTATCTCTCAAAATTCTGTTAACTAATTTTCCTATCTGAATTCTATGCAAGCAACTACAAAGCAGGACGTATACATGACAAAACGCATTAAAATTACATTTTAATGCATATCTATCTCAAACCAATTCTATATTTTTTTACCTTTTTTCATGTTAAGCAATTGATATTGTCTTTTTTTTTTTAATATATATATATATATTTTTTGAGAACTGTTTTTGATGTAATTGAAATGCAATTTTACTAAACAAAAAATAATAATAATTGTTATGTTCTTATTAATTATTCTGCACAGAATTTGCTGGAGGGAGCAATTACAGTATCAAAGTCTGATCCGAAGAAGGTTAGGTCCAATTTTGAAGAAAAAGGTACTCCGTAATGCACTTAAATTAATGTTTTCAACCTTTTATTATGGTTAAGATGGTAAATAAAAAAAGAAGACGCATTTTATTATTGTTACTATTTTATTAAGTTTATTGTTATTATTGTTTCTATTTCATTAAGTTTATGTAGCAAAAATTTACTCCATTTGGTAAATTTATGTAGTCTGTGCAGTACAAGAAATGGGGTTTTTAGTGATAGAAGTTTGTGACGAATTTTAAAATTGTTACTATAATTTATTATAATTGTGATAGATTTTAAAATTTAGTCATAAATGTGTGCATGTTCAATAATAATAAAAAAAAATTATTGCTAACAAAATATTTTGTTACTGAAAAATAGTCACAAAAAAAAAAGCTTGTAACAGTAAATATCACTACAACTCATCTCAATTAAGACAAATTTTAAATATTAGTTACATATACACACGTATTTAATGATGATTGAAAAATTCATTACTAAAAATCTATTTTGTCACTGAAAAACTATCACAAAGAGAATACATGCTTCTATTGATGAAAGTCATCGCTACAACTCATTACAACTTTAAGTTTGACAAATTTTGAATTTTAGTCACAGATACCTACATGTTCAATGATGACAAAAGAAAATCATTATTAAAGAGATATCTTGTCACTGAAAAACTGTTACAGATAAAATATAAACTTTTGATGATAAAATTTATTACTAAGACTCATCACTAAACCAAAATGTTACCTAAATAAATTCGCAACAAATAATATACTTAACAACTTGCATACATGATAAAAATTGAGATTTTTTTTTTGGCAAAAATATCAACAAGGAGGGAAAAAATTAGGTATGATAACATTCGATATGATAACAGGAACATCAAGATTTTTTAAAAAAAGGATTTGAATGTAAATAACTTAAGTTTTGGATTTTAGTTAAAATATTTTAAAAGTTTGTGGACTATATAATAATAATAAAAGCTATAATCCAATGCTATAAAAGAATAAATTAATTTTAAGCACCTGACCTACTATTTACCATTGTCAAAATTGTGAAAGGGATTAAAAGTTCGTTATGGGTTGTATATTGACACTACTTTTATAGGTGTCGGTACCATGTGTTTAAAATTTGTAACTCTATGAAATTCAAAGTAGAGGCGTTCCCAGTTGCATTGTAGTGGGGAACTGAAATAATGAAAATAAAAGAAAAGTAAAAGAAGCTTCCAATTATACATTCATCAATCTAAAATAAAAACATGTAATATATAAAAAAAAAAAGTATGAGATAAAATTTGATTATTCACCACATAATTTATAGGACTTGGTAGAAATGAGGTAATCTTTAAGTCTACCTAATGATATATTAAGCTAATAATTGACAACAAAATTTACTTAAACTTGCTTAGATAAGATCATTTTTTTGGTTAAAAAGAAAATTTGAGACTTCTTTTCAATTATGTGATTAGTTCAATACTTTTAATAAGAGAGTGTATTCAGAATGAAAAATTATTGGTACACTCTTTGATTCAACATAACTAATAACACCCATCGATTCAGTCATTCAAATTTGCCTTTGAAAATTTTCCCACCTTGAATTCAAATTTGAAAACATTAGTTTCTTAATGATTGAATTAGTAAGTGTTGTTAAGTATGTTGAACCGGAGGGTGTACCAATCATTGTCCATTCAGAATAATTGCTTCTTATACCTTTACATTACATTTTATCTCAAAATTTTACCTTTTTTTTTTGTTTATTAATAAATCAAAGGGTATAATAGTCAATTAAGATAAAAAGGTGTTGCATTAGTAATTAAAGGTGTAATAATAATATCATCCCAAAAATACCTTTTTTAATTTAATTTCGATTTTAATGATTAATAACTATAAATTTTTGTCATAGATAGTCAATATAAAATTTTTTCTATGACATGTGTCAAATTTATCACTAAGAACATTAATAACAAGGATTTTACTAATGATTTAATCATCATTAATTATAATTTGTGACAAAAATTAAAGATTTAATGACCAATAATTTAGTTGCTTAATATGAATTTTCTTGTAGTCGCGTGGTGTTTAGGTTGACCACTTTCTTGAAAGTTGTCAGATTGATTGTGTGAGGCCAGCAATGGCTGCCCATGCTTCAACACCAGTGCCCACCTGCAGCACTAAAACTCCTGAGCACCACAAATATATATATATATATATATATATCTCTTTTCTATTGCCAAGCCACCATATTCTACACATAGCCACCATATTCTACACTTGGCCATCAATAAGACGAAAATCCCAATAAATTTGTGCATGGTTGCACAATCCTTAGGGTGTGTTTGAGATTATTGTGAGATATTGTAGTTGTAGTTATAGTTATGGTTATGATTGACTGAATTGTGTTGTATTCTGACAGTGATTGTGATTGTAATTGAAAGTTATTTTAGTCTTTAGGTATTTATTTCTTAAAAATATTATAAATCACATATGATAAATATTATTAATTATTAATTAACATTTTTAAAAAATTATATAACATATATTACTAAAATATACAACATTTACTACTTAATAATTTAACTAAAGATCAAACATTTCTAATATTCCTATCAACTTTAAATATTTGTTTGATAAGCTTAAAAATAATATTTTCCCTATGGAATTTTGGACTAATTTTTCTTTTATAGTAACTAACATCAACTAATATATTAACATTTATTCTTACATATTAATGTCTTTTTCCTCTACAAAACATTTCTCATCTCTTTCCCAAATATTTTTTTCTAAACTATATATTAGCTCAAGATAATTAGAAAAAAAAAAAAAAACCTCATAGCTTTTTATAACAACAACATAAAGTTTTATTGAATTGATCAAAACTTCAACATCTCAGATTAAATTAAAGCAAATATATATATTAACCAACACTAGCACTTAAAAGAATTCATAGTGTTGCAACCTAAAATATATAACCATATAATTAAAAAAAAAAATTAGCACCTAAGAAAATAAAAACAGAATATCATCTTATAATCTCATTAAACTCATGGCTATGCTATTTCTCACCACTTCCATTTCATTGACTCTTCCATCCTGTTCCCCTCCAACTACATTTAAGTCACTGTCAAAAATCTATTTTTCTAAACATGAATTGTTGTTGAAACAATGAAAATGTCAATCATTTATTCTTTGCATTCTGATAAAATTATGCAACACCGTCATTGCAATAACCATGTCCCTCTATGTTTCAAACCCATAGCCTATTTTGTGCATATCCAAAATCAACAAGATGATATTTTCTTTCAAAAGAGTATTTGTTCCATTTATTTGTTGTTTATAAATAAATACTAAAAAGTTAACCAATTCAAAATATAATCACTTGAGAAAATTGGAGAAAATGAATAGGCCAATCTTATACCTTCGAGAGGATGGGAGAAGTTATAATTAGGATCATTAACTACTTTAGAAAAAATGGATGCATCACGGCATATGCCTGGAAATCTAACAAATACATAAGTAAACTGCATGTCAAAACTATAAACCACCATTATATTTTGAGTTGGAACACCTTCTCTATTAAAAAAATTGAACTTTTTTCTCATTTGGTACCACTATTGGTATGTGAACTCCATCAATAGCACCAAGGCAATCCTAAAATGAGGATGAAAATTTCAAGCATCTTAGATAAGTAACATGACTCTAGATATATATGTACAAAAGTAAAATCTATTACTATCTTAAAATGAGGCCAATATCTTTGATCATTGTGGATTTCATCAAAAATATCTTGAAATTGTCTATCAACTAGTGCTATTATATCAATAGCCATCAAATGAACCTTTTTGAGTACTAAATGAAAGTGTTGACTCATGGTCTCCCTTGAATGTTGAAAATGCTCTTGTACATCTCTATTACTCAGACCTCATCCCAATGTATACGAAAACATTTCTAGCATCTTAGCAGTTCCCATCCTTCTTGTGCCCTTGAGGTTATATTTTGTTTCAAGCTCATGCAATGGTAAGAAAAAAGTATCTTTTGTCATCCTAAACATATTAAAATATCTTGCTTCATGACCTTGAAAAACATCCCTCAACCATTTTTCACCAGTTTGGTAAAATATCATACATGGTTGTTTGTAAATATATGAATTGGCATAAACCTCAATCAAGTAAGCACTAATAGACAACATAAAATCAAACTCAAACTCATCATCAGAGATTGTATCTAACATAATTCCTATAAGGGAACATGAATACATGCTTAGTAAAAACAAGAATAATGGGTTTCATTGCAAAAAAAAAAAAAAAAAAAGGGTTCTGGTTTTCACCACCTACAAATGAAATGCAATATAATAATTTTATTCTAGCAAGAAATTTCTATTTGAAGAACATATTGGAATCAACTTGTCTTTCTATAAGATTATATTTCATTCGTACCAACCATCTCTAGTAATGCATAAAAAGACAAAAGAAAATACAAATAGATAAACATCATTTTGAAATGAGTAAATATCATTTTGAAACAAAAAGCTATAAGAGAACAAAATATCAACAAGTGCACCATGAAATTTTCTTTTTTTTTTTTATCAATAGTGCACCATACAAATTTATTTAAAGGTTTAAAGCTAATCTACAATAATTCCTTTTAAGAACTAAAAGAAAGACAAGAAATCAATTCATACAATCCATATTCATATACAATTGACATGGTAATGACCCATAATAATATCTTTTATTGAATTGAATCCTATTGCTTAGAAATCTAAAAATTTTATCTTATACTGAATTTATGTTGTCAACTGAGTAAATTATCCCAACCATCATTATTAGAGGTGCAGGAAATAATCAACCAATTTGTTCAAAATATATTTCAATATCATTGATAATTAACATGATGGAATTAATTCTCAAAATAACATAATCAGATCAAATTTAGAGGTTCAACAAAGTAAAATCATGTTTCAATATCATCAATTAACAACAATTATAATTATAATTAATAAAACAAAGATGCCAATTCTAATTTGCCAAATCGAAAGATGAAAATGTAGAAAAAAACTATAATTAAACATTACAATAACAAAAAAAAAAATTCAGTTTAAATAAATTAATAAAAAAATTTATTTTTTGATACTCATCTAGAAGAAGATTTGACATTGGTGCTCCTCATAATAAGAAAAGAAACCAATTGTTCTCAATATGAAAGAAATTGAGGTAAAAAAATACTATTTAAAGGAAACATGGTTAGGGCAATTACTACTAGGTTTAGGTTTTACATTGGGTGGGCATTCCATAGGCTGGGTTTCCTGCGGGGAGGAATGAAGTTTGTAATTTTGTCTCATCTAGAAGAAGATTTGACATTGGTGCTCCTCATAGTAAGAAAAGAAACCAATTGTTCTCAATATGAAAGAAATTGAGGTAAAAAAATACTATTTAAAGGAAACATGGTTAGGGCAATTACTACTAGGTTTAGGCTTTACATTGGGTGGGCATTCTATAGGCTGGGTTTCCTGCGGGGAGGAATGAAGTTTGTAATTTTGTTAAGTGATTTGTGAGAGTTTTAATAAGTAATTTAATAATTATATTAAATATTAGATTTTGTTCGTAAAAGTCATAGTCAAAAAGTTTTAAAATATGGTTTCTGATTTTATATATATAATTGCTATATAACCTGTTGTAACTTCCTATAACTTTTGAAAAAAGTAATTTAAAAAAAAATACCAAATATACAAATATATTTAAAAATATTATATAGTTACAAGAAAAAACCCCAATCATAATCCCAAAGGCACCTTTAAAGTACCTTCTCCCCTAAATATAACTGAGTAACCATAATCCATTAATCCTAATTCCACTGCTCCCATCACGTAGCATCTCAACCAAAATTCTAATTAAATTGTCCCAAAAAATGCACCACCAGCCAATCTTTACCATGCTCAGGACCAATCCTACCTGGATCACCATCAATCCGCCTCCACTTTGCTGCCAGTCCATCATCTAATTCAATTAGGCAAACAACCATGTAACCAAGAATAGGGTACAAACAAGATATACCCCAAGTGCCAACCTACCTCCTGGGTTTCCACTGAAGCCCAATCGAAACAATTTTCCATTTTTTACACTAATTAGTACATACCATAATTTAATACATTATACAATATATTTATTAAAAAAATTATTATTTTTTATATAAAATTAAAAATAAATAAACTTAAAAATACAGTCATACACATTGAATACAAAAACAGATTGAATTGCTTATACTTATATTGTACTTTTAATGGCATGGACTAGATAGGCATAAAAAAATGTGTCAAATCAAATGTATACCAATAATTTTTCTTTCATCTGCAACTAAGAAGTTTTATTAAGAGAATACTGGTCATTTCTCCATTACTCTAACAAATATTCTTATTCTGAATTTGATGAGTTATTCCTGAGCAATCTGTATGTTGAGCTGACAGAGTAAAAGCCTTTTCCTTTCCCCTTCCCAAGCTCATTTGTTCTCTGCATCCCTGTTAGAAATTTTTTATCCTACAACCAAAGAATTAATTTCCTCCACCATTTCCTCCTTCCCCCTAAATAATCTTCTCCTTCACCTCCACCCTTCCACTTCTTCCACTCCCCTATATGTTTAAATTTTCTCATCTTTTTCCACTAACGAATTGAATACTCTGGGAAAATTTTCCTTTTTACACATCACCTCCTTACCACATATCTTCCCTTATGAAAATAGAAAATATTATATATAAAGAAAATATAACAGAAAAATAAGAAAAGATTTATTAAAATGACTTTTTGGATCATACACTTGACACGTCATCTTGAAGTCAAAAGATGTACCTAATGAGTTCATGGCCTTCGCATATATTTTACTCTTACACATTATTTCTCTTCAATATGAAGTCTTTGCATTTCACTTCGCAAATGTACCTATCACATGTGAACCTTTTACTCTAACACAGTTGATATCTTTTTTTTTTTTTAATAAAAAGATTTTATTTAAGGGATTACAAGGAATGTTTCAATCCATTACAAAATCACAAGAAGCTTGAGTCACATAAATGTTAAATTGATCATTTCATTATAGAAAGACTAACAAGATGATCTCCTAGAAAAAACACTCACCTTCTCTGCAACCGCTAAACATTCCTCTCCTAAAATATTAGTTATTTAACTTTTTTACTTGTACCAGCCAGAGACATCAAACACTCCGGTTGACAATTCGACCAATCAGTGAATGGAAATTAACTCGATCAACATCTCTCAACGTCTGAATAAATTAGTGTAACCATGTAAGTAATCGTTGAAAAGTAATTTGTATTGTGAGGAGGAAACTTATCAAGTGATTGAGTAATTACAACTTCTATCCACAAAAGTACCAACCATTGTCTCTTGATATACAACTACTGTTTGCAAATTACTACTTAATTACATTGATGTTATTCGTTCTAACTTTTATCCATAAAACTGAAATTATTTTTCGATCATATTATAACTCTTGCGGGCAGTCGTTAAAGAGTTGCTAATATTCTGAAGAATAAGAAAAAAAATTATTTTATTCTATTTTGATCTTGAGGAAGGGGATTTCAAAATCGAACCAATAATCTTGGCAACGGACCATTTGGTAGGGGCCATTAGTGAGAAAAGAGCAACCAATCTAGAAAGAAATAAAAATGACAATAGCAGAGAAAGCTATTGTATTACGTATACATTATGATATCACAATATAATTTCTCTTTAGGTTTTGTTTCTCCATTTTTACAAACTTTCACTACAACAAAACTAGCTTTTAATGAGAGTACATATCATCACTGATAGCTTCAATTCCCATCATTAAAATAGAAATAATGACCGGATATCCTGTCGTAGCCTGTTGTTTTATGCTTAGTGGTTAAAAGTTTTCAACAATAGGGACGTTTTGCCTGTTACTAAATGTGAATCATACGCTGTCAATAAAATGTCACCATTGTCTTCAACAAATTAGTTTATAGTGAGGGTAATCCTGTCATTGAAAAGTTAACAATTTTTAAAATCAAAATACAAATAGCCCCACCCTATTATTTCAACAACTACTGCCGTCACTATTTGAAATTTTGATTTGGAGCATTTTGATTAATATAACCATTAACAAGTATTCTAATTATTAACTATAAAGTTAGTGTAATTGATTTTATAGTTACCATAATTATTTTGTTATTATTAACCACAATAACAAAATAATTACCCATAAATGATGCAACAATTAATTCAAATAACAACTACTCTTAAAAGATAACATTTAGTGGTTATATCACATTCACAATAATAAATATGATAATAACAATATATAAAATGTAAAAACCATATATAATTTTCTATTAAATTATCGAAAGTCAAATGTTTACATACACAAAGGTTAATGCTAGCTATATCCAAAAATACTAATGAGTCTTTCATTCAATTTCTATATGCCCCTTGTCCAAAAGTACCAAAAGTAGACAGATTAACTTATACTCAAATTGATGTTGTTGAGACCCTTTTCCACCTGCAAATGCAAATATATAAAATTACTTTTAGTTCGTACAAAGACACTAACACAGCATAATCAAGAAAGAAATCTACTAGCTTTCAAGAGATTAGCCTCCAAAAATTAATCATGCATCAAACTTTTCCCCTGTAAAACAAGAAATATATATGCATTGTTCAAAAGTTAAAGAAACTCTGCCACAAAACTAAAGGAATTCCTTAGCAGTGAGGTAAAAATAAACATGCTATCTTAACCACAAACAAAATTATCTTTGTAGTACCAAGCAAACAACATATGTTGACTCATTGGAATGATCTTAACTAGTTTATAGCTCAAACAATCATTTTTGGCCAACCAAAGAGTCCATACACCAGGAAAGAAATATAAATTTTCTAAACCAAGCATGTTGCAGAAAAGACTTCATAATTAGACAGCAAAGCACATTCTACACCTCACCAAGGAAAACTCTTCATTTATAAGCTACAAGTTAATCACACATTAAGCACAAATGGTTGGAATCCTGTTCTTTCTTGCCACAAAACAGAGCATGCCATAAGGAAATACAACCAAATGAATGTTCATTCCTTTTAAAGATGACTTCACATTGAAAAGATAATAAAAAGTGCACCCATCCATAGGATAGGAAAACACTTGTGCTTTTGGATAACTAGGAGGTTTAGCATACATTTTCACCCTTTAGAGACATAGGCACACTAGAAAGGCAAGCTAAAATTCCACTAAAAAATAAAAAGAGTTGGTAAATTAATTATTGGTTAAAACCCCATTTGGTCCCTAAACTATTGTACGGACCCCCGATTTGGTCCCTAAACTAAAAAAATCCCTGATTTGATCCTTACTGTTTACCATTTTAACCCCGATTTGGTCCTTCCGTTAAATATCTGCCTAAATATCTGCCGTGTCTTGTTACTTGACGGGGAAAAGGATGACATGTTAAAACATTTTGACACCTAGGATGTACAGCGTGGCAAAAAAAATGAGATGGCAAGAAATTACCTTAAAAAAAAAATTTTTTTTCTTTCTTTGTTTTTATTTTTTCCCTTTCTTCTTTCTCTCCCTTTCCTTTCAATTTCTGCAAACCCTAAAATTTCCTAATATTAAATCCGAGAATCACAACAAACCAACATATAGAAATCAATAGATACTTCGATCCAACTGCAGTTGGGTTGGAAACAAAACCCAACATTTGTTAGGTTTGAAATCGAATTCAGCACCTGCAAGAATACGAGGATAACACAACAGATAACAAATCCATAAATAGATCGAACTCAACAGATCCATGTACCCAACGACTGCTGAGTTTGAAACAGAACCTAACAAACAACAGATTGATAAACAAATGGAACTCAACAGATCCATGGATCCAACGGTTGCTGGGTTTGAAACGGAACCCAGTGCCTGCTGGGTTCGAAATCAAACCCAGCACTTTCGAACCCAACACCTGCAGGAACCCAGCTTGAACACAGTGCCTGCTGGGTTTGAACCCAGCACCTATGCCTTCTTCATCTTCATCCACCTGCAAAAACCCAACGGCTGCCTTGCCTTCTTTATCTTCATCAATCAATTTCTCATATCATCAAACAACAAAACCCAAACAAAGAAAACAGAAATTCTTTTTTTTTTTGGAACCCACGGCTGGGTCTTAAGGAACCCAGCAGCTGGGTCTTAAGGAACCCAGCGCCTGGGTTTCATCGAACCCAG